AACGGAATTACACACCAGTTCCACACACCATGCTAAGATCCGTGCTAGATGAATGTTATCCTCTGTAAGTTGATCATTAGGTATCAGCATTTTATAGGCATAAATTAATGTCAAACCACGAGTTTTCTTGCCTCCTAGGACATTATATTGCAATACCTGCGTTACAAAAATCTATCAGTCTGCATATTTATTCTAATTTATAATTTATTGTTTTTTATTTTATTGTATCACTCTGTTTTATGTTACTTCCATGTTACTGAAACACTCAACGTTTCTCTTTATTCATTTATATGGTTTTCTTTTAAGCTTCTTAAAATTTTTGCCACTTAATTTGGATGTTTATATTTTATTGTTTTCAATAAAATCTTACTTTAAATTGTTATATAAATTGTTCATAGTTTATTGAAAATTTTTACATTATATTACTTTGCGTTATGTCTAATTATCCTGAAGGAATTTATTATAAAATAAATCGCTAAATCTACTGAATGAATTTTAAGCAATTTTTACGTCCCACATTGGCTATTGTATAGTATTTTAATTAATAATAACTTACTTTTTCTATCCACTTAACGACATCTGGAATATTTAAATCTTTAATCGCATCTATGATATCACGAACAATGTCCGGCCATGTTGTTATCATCTCCCGACTTTCTTTCTCGATCATTACTTGCATTGAGTGAGTTATAGATTGAGTCATTGTCACGTTCTAAAACTTAAACAAATATTAAAGAATACGACGAGTGATAATAAACAACAATGACGAGATTCTGTCATTTCAAAAATAAGAACGATATTGCGATATAAAGCCACCATTGCAGTTTAACAATTTAATGTATCTTATAAGATAGTTATCTTATAAGTTTTAGAACGTGACAATGACTCAATCTATAACTCACTCAATGCAAGTATACACTGAATTCGGTCGGATCTTCTTTCGGGGAAAGGAAGACGAAAGCTTACAATGAGAACTGAAGGTCTAGCTTCTTAGCTTCAATACATATACTCTTGACAACAATACATATGGATGTTCTTTTTATGATTAACGAAACGACTATACATTACTATTTATGTGATTGTCTCATAAATAATACAATAATGTTTTTTACAATGTATCAGCAATATCCTCACCGTTATTTTTCGTATAAATCGAAGTCGAAGCCAGCTTTCCTAAAGTATCGTTACCGCCCTTCTCATCGCAAGGGAAATCAGAATTACATGTTCTTCGACATATGCGCTCATTACGGATTAGGATTAGGAATACTTTTTGTTATATCTTATAGTGAACGTAGAAATAGCCAAAGCGTTTAATAACAATTTAATACGAAATACCTAATACGAAAAATATCCTGGCGAAAATAATAGATATGTTTATTGAAAGTTTATTGAAAGTTTATAAGAAGTTTGAAGGTGTTTTAAGCAGCGCTGCGAACTGCTGCTTATGATGAACATTTTTAACATTCGAAAAACACCACACTTTTCGAACGCGTATTAAACATAGCCGTAAACATCTCATAAACAATTCCATGTTTAAATTTACATCTCATAAACAATTTAATAAATGTTTTAAAGCTCAAATAAAACATCTACTCAACACTTAAGCAAACTTCTTATAAACTTTAATAAACATATTATTTTTGCCAGGGTATCCAGATTATATAATAGTTGAAAAAGAAACTATATATATTAAGATTCTTAATTCTTTTCCAGATTCAGGAAATAGATAATTTAGAAAATAGATACACATAATAAAACCCGCCTTCGTCTATCTTAATTATTTCGCAATTTTTCTGCAATAAAATCATGAGTTTGGCTGATAAAAACGCTATTCCATTAATCGTAAACTGCGAAAAATTCACCAGTTTCGATTATACTTCAATCATGGTATTGGAAATAACATTCCCCGATCGAATAATTTCTTTTTATCAATCTGTAAACGATCGACACTGCCTTACTCGAACTGCGTGTGATGTTAACAGAGTATTGAGGTACGTACGTACGTAATACTATATCGAGAAGATTGAATCACTAAAAAACACAATTCTGACTGTTGCATCTTAATT